GTTACAAGGAGTCCCTTGACCTCCTGCAGGTGGTTATTTCGAAAGAGAAATCACTAATATCAAGGAGTGGGTCCGCGGAATTCGCGAATAACTTTAGGGTTCGAGATTTGACAGTCGATCTCCCCCCGGTATCCATTAAAAAGCGTTATTAAACACTTTCCACCCCTACGGGTTGATGGCTGTTGCTCACCGTTATTCGGTGCGTGATTTCCGTTTGCTTTGTAGGCTGGGTGGAGCTGGATATCGTGTTCTTGCAAGGCTAGACCATAGGCGCCCGAGGCGGTATTCCCATCTTGTGGTTATGGGGCTAAAATTGCTCTCTCCTTCTTACCCGCTTGATTTCTGGTTGGGTAAGGGACGACCACTCAGTCCAGAAGCTCATGGGCGTTTGGTGAGACTCCTTCGAGCCAAACTTAAGCCCGGGAGCTGATTGCCCCCCGATGAGCTGTTCGAGACTGAGGAATCTAGATATTTCCTGGAGTACTCTCTCCTTTATGGATGGATGCGCCAGTGGTTAAACTACCTTAAATGGTATCACCTTCGCACTTTCCCCTTGGGTTACCCTCGAGGAACTGTTTAGCGGTCCGGTTGTCTCGCACTCCTGGAGGATGGTCGCGGTGGACGAAGACCTCGTTCGCTTCTCTCTGGAAGTTGTTTATAGAAGTGCGCTTTTCAAGTTCATTAATCAGGCTGTGAAGTGAAGGTCACAGGGGCTATGAGACCCGGCGTAGTAATTTGGAAGCCCTAGTAGTAAGCAGAAAATGAAAAGCTTATTCATAAGCTCAAGATAGCCAAGATGGAGTAGGGCTAGTCTAAGACAAGACAGACCGATCTATATTCTCCTGCTCGCCTTTACAAGGTTTCCTACTCACTCTATTGAGTTACAGCCGGGTTCTGCAAGGAAGCATCTCGACAGGCCCGCAACCAGTGGTTGATGCCCCACCCGAGCTCTCCATACTCTATTTATCAAGGAGAGTTTTACCAACCCTGCCATCCTAGAACGTTAGCGTACAAGAGGGGCATTTCTCAATTGAGTTAGTCACACATGGAATCTCAGATGTGGAAGTTTTCTTCCGATTTCTTTGGCGTTTAGTTGGCTGCACTCTAGGTCTCACCTAAGATCCTTAGTCTATCCGAGGCTCTCGTTAACTGGGGCACGATAGAACCGATGGTCAGTACCTCTTTACTAGGGAAGGGGTTCCCGGGAGAGAGCTCTGGTTCGTGCGCATTAGAAGTAGACATGAGTGGTTGTCTTAGCGCGCATCGGAAAGACCTTGCCTCAGTGCCTTTGAGGGATTCCTTCTCGCTTGCTTGCTGTCTAAGCTCTTCGATCCTGCCCTGCTTTGATTCTTGCGCTTGCTTGTGCCCCCTTCTTTCTTGCGCTTGCCTGGATCGCTATCTTACTAGCAGTAGTGCTGTTTTCTATTTGAGCTTCCCTTTTTCCTTTTATCGAGCATAATGATTCGAATCGGGCTTTTGGTAAATTCTTTGCCGAAAGAGTTCTCCCTTATCGGATGGCATCAGATGCCGGTGGCGGTTAGCGTTCTTTATGGGTATTATTCGGTGCCAGTGGCCTCTTAGCTTTGTGGGCGATATCGGATGGTTGGTATCTCACCGCATAAGTGTCAGGGATGGCGTAGTTCATTAGTGCTTTCGAGGATGTCTGTGCGTGCTCTCCCGTCTTTAGTCTTTCTCGGCGTCACCCCAAATACGAAAAAATAATTTGAGCATTACCCGCTCTATCAGATAGGACGACCTACTCCTTAGTTGAACCAGACTTTGCCACTCACCTTCATCCGAAAAGAAAGAGACCGCACGAAAGCAGTTTTTCCTAAACGGTGATATCGCCAGGTTTGAAACTTCAATCTTTAGCAGCTTGTGGGGCCTGGCCTGAAGGTGATATTAATACCACTCCGGCCCCTGCAGCCCCCAAAGTGCTAGATCCATCGAAGTAAGAGGTCCACCTCTGCAAAGGCGAGGACTTCTTCATCGAGCTCCACTGGTTCGAAAACATTCATGGCATGATCTGCCAAGAAGTCTGCAAATGCCTGTCCTTTGACCGCCTTCATAGGAACGTACCGAAAAGTGAACTCGGATAGCCCTAGATCCACTTCCCAATTCTCCCCTTCAACACGGGTCTGGTCAGCATATACTTAATCAGGTCCGTTCGAGCAATTACCAACACTGTTGTGGAAAGGAAGTAGTGTCGGAGCTTGGTTGCTGCAAAGTAGAGCGATAAGCACATCTTCTCGATCGGCGAATAATTCTTCTTAGGGAAGACCCTGCTGAGATAATACACGGCCTGCTCCTGCCCTGAATCAGATCGAATTGGGGCATAGGGGATGATTGTAGATAGACCATCAGCATAATCAATTCTCGTAAACCAAGAACCATCAAGCAATTTCATGCTTTTGTTCCTAATTGGGTAAACCGGCTCATTCGCCTTTACCACTCCACTCTGTTTGTAGGAAGGTACTTCCGGCCCTCCTCAAGGATACCCGCAATGATTGGGTCAAGATTTTAGGTTGTGATGTAGGAATAACCATTTTCTCTATACCCCCCATCTGTGTATAAGGGTCAGCAAGCTCCGAATCCCGTTTGTTCCTTTCTTGGGTCAAGGAGCAATTTCAAACATTTCCATTTTGATATTGGATTTCCCTTTTCAAGATGTCTCAGAGCAAGCAAAGTCTGACCTTATCTACTTATAAGCGCAGAGGGAAAGTAGCAACTTGATTTGGACCATAGGGGGCTTCCTTCCGAACTACGGATAGGCTACGCGGGCTTTGCACTTCGGCCCGTGAGAATACCGTGCTCTATCTCTTCTCTCACCCGACAGAGAACTATCGTCTCGCTTTCGCTATTTATTGCAAAAAAAAAAGACAAGGGGGGGACATAAAGGCCTTACCCCTGAACATCAAAACAAGCTAGGGAGCTCTAAAAAAGAACATGCCTTGGCTATGAACAGGCTTTTTAGAATCAAAAGGAAGAGACCCTAAGCTATAAATAAAATGGAGTCTGAATGAGTATGACCATAAGCAGCCAAACAATCTGCAGCTTTGTTGTCCCCCCTAAAGACATGAGATAATTTCGATAAAGAAAAATGTCCTTTCCCAGCAAGCACAACTCACTAGCATGATCCTAAGAAAGCCACACTGTGATTTTGATTTGGCCATTAAACCAGGAAGCCAAAAGATGGTGAAGAGAGGAGCTTTATAAAAGAAATCCACATTGAGACTGGGAGAGAAATGAGACCCTATTATCCTAGGAATATCACTTTGAGAGAGGTGATCCACTCTTTCTATGCAAGGAGAGGAACAACAAACATTTGGAGGCAAAATTCATTCCAAACCTGGGAAAACTGCTATCAACAGCAATGGCATTCTTAATTAGTCTTAGTTTCCACAAAAAAACACCCATTTTCAAGGGCAACCATTTGTTCCAAAGATTTTGATAAAGAGATCTCTAGCCAGTCTCTTCTTTTGAGAGGACAACTCAATCAACTCGGCGGATCCCCTCTTGTCAAAATACTGAAAGCGAGAGTGAAGCATGTGTTTCGTTTACATTCTAACTATTTTACCATAGTTAAGAGAGTCAAGACGATCTTCCTTTTTTTTTGCCCTAAGCCCCAGTCATCCGTGGAGCTTTTCATATCATAGCTAGGCCTCCTCTTTTTCGATGACTTAGGGGAAATTCTCTTCTCGCAATTAGGAGTCAGTGGATGACATCCCATTCTACGAGTTTACTTACGGCTGGAGTAAGCAGAGAGTCAAAAAAGTCCAGGGAAGCTTTTCAAGTAGGATTCGAACCTACGCCCGACTAGTCAGTTACCAGCCGACCGCTCTACCACTGAGCTTGAAATAAAAAAAGGGGTTTTCCGGTGATTAAGGTAAGGTCTTGGGTCGAAAAGTAGGTATAAAGATATGCATATTTGAACAAAAAATGTAACTAAGCCCTTATAAAAAAAACTATTCCAAAGAACCGGTTTCAATAATCTGAATAAAGCCATTATCGTCCACAGATATGAAAGCCCCAATACAAGTAACTGGGTCGCCCCCTGGGACTAAACACATAACCTTTCCAACAAGACCTAGTCCATTCAAGAACTCCTCCCATTTGGGTACATGAAATTTTCCATTTTACAATCCCAAGAGGAACGCTAATTTCATAATCATAACGAGCGTGTGGCATTTTATAAACTGTTCTTCGAAAGCTTGGTAAAATTCATCTAAAAAAATTGAATAAGACGGGAGCTCTAAAATCAATAGTTGGTATTCCTTCCTTAGACGACCAATCTTTCCCAGTCTTGTCTATAATGGGCGTGTGAAGAAAGGATGATACCTGAAAATCTTTTGATCTTTCACCACAGATTCCAGTTTAGACAAAAGACGCGAACGGGAAAGGATATGCGTCTGCAATCAAAGTGGATACTTGTTCTTGATGGTTAGGTTACCTTGTTGAGCGCGCCCGATAATCAATGCCCAAGGCTCCCTTTCTGGAATAAAACAAGGGCTCCCCAACCTTTTCCCCAGCAAGATAGGGAAAAAGAGCCTTGGAGGCTGGAATATAAATAGGAAAAAATGACTTCCTTCAATTCTTTCCTGAGTTCAACCAAGCCCCTTAACTAATAGATGCTAGTGGGGGGGGGCATCTGCTAAACCCAGCCCCACTCTAAGTAAGTTAAGGGGCTTTGGCTCCAGGCTCCAACTTGATCTTGTGGTAGACTGGCCCTCCTAGGGGGCACTTGGCAACTCACTCGTGGGGCATGAAATCCCCAAATTCCTAAAGTACTTGCTGCACTTCTTGGGAAAGAAGTCGTCTTGGTATTGGATCCGCTTCTTCTTAGCATGAACATGAATTCTATTCTATTCGTCTTCTTTATTCAGCCCCCACCCGAACCATTCTTAAGACCACCAAGCCCTCCCGAATGAGTTCTACTATAGAAGCTTTCAACGTAGACCCGGGGACAAATCTTTCACTCACTGAGAAGTGAAAACCTGTGACTAGATCGTCCTGAAGACGGATGCGACGCGGGAAGAAGTGGCATTTGGAAGTGTTGCTGACTTAACATTTAGGTTTCGGCATAACAAAGCTTGCACTGTCTTTTCGCACTTAGGCGCACTGCGTGCCATTGGTAATGATTCTACTACGGTGCCACAAATTCGCAAGCTGATCCTAAGTAATCGTTGTTGTTCATTGGATTCCGGAGGAACTACTTCGTTAGGATTGAGGAATTGCTGTGATTCTTCCTGAATAGCCTGGATTCTCCCGTCGAGAGTCTCTTTGAAAGTCTTACCTAAACTCTTCCGACTGAATATGATAAAGCCTATAAAACAACGAGCTACTATCATTTCTTCATTATAGATTGAGATCTTCTTCGAACTTGATGCACAAATAGATAGAATAGCAGCAAATAGCATCTTTCTAGCCTGCATATTCGTGGAACTCAATCTCATTTAGAAAGCCTTCTCTCTATCTTTCAGCAACTGAACGGGAAGTGGTTTAGGAAAGGACTTTAGAATCGGATGCGCTCGCCCAGCGAGAAAGGCCCTGACCCTGCCAACCAAGTAAAAAAAAAAAAAGAAAGAAGAGAACGAAAAGAGAACTTCGTTTTGCTAACTCTCTAGGAGTCATGTTTAACCTTGAATGCTATTAATAGATTCTACAGCAATAGTCCCTCTCGGAAAGTAATAACGAAAATGGCTAACCCAATAGCAGATTCCGCAGCTGCCACCGTTGGAACCAATGAAGCAAATGATTGACCCATCATATCATCCGAAGAAACGGAAAATACCAAAAAGTTCGAATTCACAGCTAATAACATTGATTCAATTGGCATTGACATAATAGGAATATTTCGTCTATTAAGGAGGATTCCCCGAATACCTGAAATAGAGATGATCATAGAAAATGTGAAATATTTGATAGGATCCGTTTCGGGAACGTAGAATGTAAGAGAAATTCAAATGTTAGAACTCCAGAACCTCATTAAAAACATGTTGATTAAATCGAGGGAGATTGTAAATCTCTTCCCATAACCAACTATGAGTTCCATTTGATTGTAAGTCAAAAATCCCTGACTAGGCTACTTAAATCGTCCGCATTTACAGCCCGAACAAGGTCCGCCATGGACCATTCGGGAGGTAACTGCCTTTCGGTTTCATTTAGTAATTGGTTTAATGTATGACTTATGCTTTCCAGGATTTCCGGAAATGGTGGAGCGCTTTGCGCCTCTGACTCAGTACTTGATAGACTATCTAATGAAGAATCTGCGGATCCCAAGAAGTCCATATCAGTCTCTTGGGATAGCATAAAAGAAAGCTCACTCGGGCTTGGTTGCCCGTAGAGAATCAAAAAATCTTGTTCCGGTTGCATCCGAAAATAATAAAATAGTCGTGCCGCGCTCCCCTATCTTTGTTTAGGTAGCTTAAGCTTCTCTTTAGCAAGACCAACAGTCTTACTTAATGAGGGTAGCTTGGCTGTTAACCAAGAAATGAACGGGATTCTGCACTTGGAATGCAAAAGCATTCTTTTCAATCTTGTACCTTACTTAACACCAACTCAATCTCGATTCTCTGAAGCAGCAAACTCTCAAAAAAATGAATTGACCAATTGACGACGCTCCTCATTCATTATAACGATATTTTCTCAATTCTATTGTTTAACCACGAAGAGTGTATCTGACGGAGACACTCGCTAGATCTAGTTAGAGTTCCTCGGCGAATCGTCTCTTTCTTAATGAAATATCTGTCTAGCCCTTATCCTGCTAACGACGCCCTTCTTATCTACGAAATTGACCCTTCCTTTCCTTCCCCAGCTTTGAGTGAAGTTCCTTCCATCAACAGTTAAGTCATTAGTACCAGAGCCTATTCTTTCAATTGTGCAATCAGTTCTTCCACTTTGCTCAATAGCCGGAGATGAAATAGCGAAGGTTACGTTCACATTTCTAAGCGCGGTTCTTCCTCCATCAGATCAGGCATAATCAACAGGAGAGAGCCAAGCAAGGTTGACGAGAGCAGCGGATTATTTCACAATTACCCAAACTCGAGCAAGGGTAGCAACGGTTACTGATTACCTGACTGAACCACCAGGAGCTTCTTCTATGGCATCAATGCCATTATCTGTCCATCAATCCGATTTAATTAATCAATCGAAATCTTTCATTTTATCGGGAATTTTTGGTTGTTCTTCGCCTTACCGAGTTGATAACATCTACACCGGAAACAAGAAGTCTACCAACGGTTATTGCCAACAGTTCCTACGTTCACAGCTCTTATTTTTCCAACAGCTAGGCCATCCAAGAGGGAGGGATGACAGCCCTAGCCCAGCTAACTTCACTCTTATGATGATTCAATTGCTTACACCGGCTACTGGTTGAGCTGCTACGAAAGCAGTTACCTTTCTTACAGCAGGGCAGATGATTTCACAGTTAGCAAATCTTTCTTCTGAACTCTCACAAAAGAGCTTACTCTCTTTCGAAAGACCGGATACGGTTAGATCTAATTCTAGCACTTAGAGTGTCCTGCTCCCCCCTTTGCCATTGTCACTACTGGTACCTGACCCCGTCGGCTCGACATTTTTGCAAACACCGACCCGACCCTTACTCAATAGGGCAATTCAAAGAGGAGAACGAGGACAGCTGACTACCGCTAAAAGTCAGACTACGAGTACACATTGTATGATTGAAAACTGCCGCTATACTACCCGGTAATTGCAGGTCTGACTGATGCCTTCTCTCCAACAGCTGCTTCAATCAATGTGAAGTCTGACTACGAGGCCTCTTAGCCGCGCAGCTGACTACTTATTGAAATGAAAGACCGAACATTTAAGGCTAACTCTTTCTCGTCTTCAAAAAAGTATCAATGCATGCAGTTATATAAGCTATCACTTTTGCAATTCAAGATCAGCTCATCGAAGGGAAAAGTGAGAGTATCAAAATGCAGTTATATGAGCATCGACTTGATAATTTGCCTAGTGAGAAGGCCAGGAAAAGACCCAACAGGCATACAAACTCACTCTCCCGGGGCAGCAGAGGAAGCAAATTTCTTAGGAGTTTCAAATCTCGAAAAAAGGCTTTCTTTTAGGCGCTTCCTCTCCTTTCAGTCGAGCTAGGCTGAAGACTTTCTCTTTCTAGCCAAGCAAGCTTCATGCTGAAACTATCTTCCTTCTTTGTCTTTGTGCGAGACTGGGGGAGGTTGTAAGGTAGCAGGAATAGATCTACTATGCCTTGAGTCGGGTTTTCACTCCTCTCCCCTCACTACTCTCTTTGGTTCTGCCTTGTTGAGGCCAGTAGAGGTAGAATTTTCACAGCTAACTCTTCCCGGTCTCTACGATTGCTTGACTTAAACAAGTGACCTCCTTTCTTTCATCAGGTATGGTCCCAGACAACCTATTGTAAGACTGATCAAAAACTCCACGATGTTGAGCATAGCTCAGATCAGGTATATTAACCTGAGAAAAGACAAAGATGACTTGGAAGGAATCGACCCGGATAGATTATTATGAGAAAGAACTAGGCATTGTAGGTTGAGCCAAGATTCTCTGGTATAGGCCCATTAAGATTGTTATTTCCATGGTTCAATGTGTATTCAATAGCTGGTCCTTTCAACTACTATTCAAGCTCGTACAACCATGAGTAATCTGTGTATCTCAACTAGTGAAATAAGTTACTTGCCTAGTGCTACTCCTCCTCCACAGAAGACTTGCTAGAATAGCTTGCATGGAGAGCTACCACCTTTCTCTCTTGACTTTGCTTCGGGTAAACTAACTTTAGTCTATCCTTCTACTAGCCAACTAGGAGTTAGAAAAGCCTGACTTCACGCTTACAGGGTACTAAGATTCACTGCTTTTATCCTCTAGCCACAGACATACTTGACTACCACAGACCTCCTTTACTACTTGAACTATCAAGCCAATTAGTAACACAGGCTCCTTGTCCGGCTGGGCACTAGGATGTGAAGATATGCCGGCATTTGCTATTGGGTAGCCCCTCGATTTCGAGTCGGTGATTGTAAGATCAGCACAGATCAGAACTAAAGCAGTTCTATGAGATCAGGCAGAAGTTAATAAGACAGAGCAGAAGTGAAAGATGAAAGCACTGTACCGGGGAAACAAAATCTTTCTAGTTCTGCTAGCCTCTTACTTAAGCTGTGAAAAAAGAATTGCTAGTGAAAGTGTTCTTTTTTTAGTCACCGATAAAGAAAGTACCCCAGCTTACCAGATTTGTAAAAAAAGGAAAGACTTTCTAATCTATTCTCCTCTATCTGAGGCAATCACTACGAACATGCGCTAACCTCATATATCTCCTTGATCGACCTCTTATTCGGGCAATGAGGGGTCCATCCATTAGATCTGCTGGTCTGCTCGGAGCGTAACCATACTTTGAGGTTTCATACGAGGAAAGGGAATTTGATAGTTTAGACCCTTAGGCGTGGATATGTCGTTTCGGTAGTAAATGGGCTAGAGCTTTTCGGGGTTCTCAGAGGTCTTGATTGAATATGTCGAAATAGGCTTTCCATAGGGCCCTTCATATGGCTTGTAGTTCAAGACTAGCAGTACTACATTTCATACAAGCGTAAGAGCTACCGAGGGTGACTTTTTTCTTTACTCAAAAGCCTGTTCAAGCCTTCTTTAATGGTTAGACTCTAGCCTCTAATAAAGATCGAGATAAGGGCATTTCTTTGAGAAAGTATAGGAGAAGCTTGATGCTTCAGATCCAACCCCGACAACTCAAACTTGTTTTTTGGCTAGCAAGAAATAGGCACTTGTTCTTACCTATCTAAACTCTATTTTGGCTTGCTATAAGATTAGTACTGGTTCTTACCATCAATCTCTTTCCTATCTAGAATGGTGGGTACATCAATTCTTGTTGATCACATTCATGGGGGAGAAGCACTGAAGGCTCTAGTCCGGGGTTCTTCTTCTTCTTCTTGCCAGTATTAGGTTTCTTCACCTTCTTCTTAATGTCAGTATTAGGTATCTCGTCTATAGTAGGGTTAGTGCCCTCTGTAGGTTCTTCTTTCATCTCCTTGTCTCTCCCTTTTTTTCTCTCTTTCTTATGAGATAATTTTTCATGGAGAAAGAGATTCTCGTTCTTAAGATGTTTACATCAGCCCTTAGCAACATGACTAGTTTTTTGCTAATGTTATCTAATCTAGACAGGTCTTTGACATCAACAGGCTTTGTATCAACCCAATACTCCCCTCATAGACTTTTATCCTCTTAGGCTTTTGATTAAGCCCAATCTTGACATTTATGTCTTTCTTGAAGATGTTAAGTGAGGACCACTCAATCCTGAAGTTGGCTTCCACCGCTACTTGTAGCGTACGATCAGGGTCAGCGTACTGTGAAAGAAACCATTCTGGAGTGATTTCCTTATTCGCAAGCCCTTTGTACTTACAGTATCCTTTCCTTTCTCATTCCAGAAGTAATAGGCCTTCGGAGCTAAAAAGTATCCTTTAACTATTCTGTCCTCTAGCTTAAACAGACCTAAGATAGAAGATGAAATCAATTCTTCAGGTAGTGGCTTACTTAGCACAACAGAGTCAGTGTCCGTAGTAACAGTCCTCTCTCGAGGTGTAGGGGTACATATAGATCCTAGCATAGGCTGTGATTGCAGCAGCAAGTTGGACAGCAGAGTTCTTCGGTGGATCCCAATAATATGTCTCGGTATTGCTATGATAGGTAATGATGTATTTGGAATCGCTAAGCTCATCAGTAGATATCAAATTAGTCTTTCTTATTAAAAGTTTGCGTCTTTCGTTATCGCAGATCTCGGTTATTGTGCCCTTAGGGTTAATGCCGAATCTACCATATAGCGAATTCATAAGGATCTTATACACATAAGACAAAGCATCATTCCCTGACTTTTTAGCTTCTAACCTGCTTGAAAAGATAGCGCTTACAAACTCCCTGAATGGGCTTTCCTTCTTCTCAAAGAGGTAGCCTGAGATTGGAATCACTGTGTAGCCAATCTCTCTAGCAAACTTCAATTCTTCGCTATAGTACACCTACAAATTCTCCTGTTGGAAAGATGAGAGTACCCTCCTTCTTCTCGATAGGGTAGAAAGGGCTTCTTGATAGTTTTCGGACATACTATATATGCTTCAATAAAGCCTAACATGCCATCTAAGTCCCTGTCTTCCAGATTTCCATACCAGACTGGTACACCACCAGGCATTGGGTATTCCTTCATGACAAATGGATAGAGCGAGTTCACATCGTAGTAGTATAGGTCCTCCCCATAAGGCTTATACACATCCGTATGACCACCGTAGTATGCATGTCTTATAAAGTTGTCTTCATTTCTGCTAGGGATGTGGATTGGAAAGATTTCTCATCGTAGTATCTCAAACGAAAGATGCTTAGAGCTAGTGAGGAAAGGGTGATTTTACCCTCAATGTCCACTTTGTACAGATTCCAATATATCTCTTGTGCTTTTTTCATCACACCACCTAAGAGATAGATGTCCTGCTTCATATATTCCACCAATTCATCTCTCATACTAACCAGCTTCTCAGGAGTGACTTCGCTATAGTTGATAGAACCCTTCGTGCCTAGATCAGGACAGAGACTCTTAGCCAGCTCACTAAGTTTACTAAGTAGATTATAGGAATCCCTGAAGCGGAATAACATCTTTTTACCCAAATAGACAGCTAACTCATAAAGCCTGTTATTCCTCATCAGAGGTTTGAGCTTGTATTTCGGGTGCTTACATGCGAGGTGCTTTAGCAAGAGAATACCATCGAATCTAGAGAAAAGTTGTGGAAGTAAATAGTTTTTAATGACTTGTGTTTTTAACAAGAGCAGAGATCCTTAATACCAAGTCAAAAAGCACCTTCTCACTCCTTTTTTCAAACTCCGTCGGATACAGTATAGAGTAGTCTTCGCTAAAGTAGGTCTCGATCAGCATATCATTTATACGTTTACCAGGAAATACCATCAAGAGACCAGCTGCATAAGGCTTATGATAATTCTTCTCATCCAGTAGCGTCTCGAGATCGGATACAATGAAGGGTCTCTGCTTAATGTTACATTCCTTTAACGCGGGGATAGATTTTGGGCGTCTACTTTGCCGGAGTTTCCTTGCTGTTAGAGCATCGCTCTCAGTTAATCCCTCTTCGGTCTTATTAGAGACCTCTAAAAGAACAGAACGAAGTAAGTTCTGTCTTTCTTCTTCAGATAGGGTTGGCTCTCCAGCTTTTTATCCTGTTCCATATAGACTCTGATAGTGACTCGAACTATTTCATCCCCCTCATAAATTTCTGAAGATTTTAAAAGGACTTTATAGAGCTGAGAATAGACCCATTTTTTAGGAAGCAAATTACCACCCTCCTCAGTCAAGGGGATAGCAGTACCTATTGAAAAAGTTATCTCCTCCCCGTAAGATCGCAGCGTGGTAAGTAAAATCCCAAATTTTGCGTAACCTCTGAGGGATGTGTAAGCAAACTGGTGTAAGAGATCCATTATACATAGAGCATGTAGATCCACATCATTAATAGAAGGTTTAGGCTCGCGGAAGCTATGACTAGCTATGATTAACCATCTATGCGGATCCTGCACCCATGTCCTTTCTATACTAGCAAAGACGCGATTCAAGAACTTGTCAATATATGCGCTGTATGTACAGTATGCCCTCGTGCGTATGCTGTTACCTGTGGAAAACATTTTTCTATGCTCTTACTAGTTCGTATGCTGTTACCTGTGGAAAACATGGTTTGTATGCTGTTACTTGTTAAATACATTGGCTTTTTTCTTTTCTTTAATAGTACGTGCTATATAAGGGGAGCTCGGACTTTCTCTTCATCATAGAAAGGAAATCCTCATATTTCTTATATGCAAACGACAACCATCGTTAGTATTTTCATACTCTCCGCATACAAGACGAGTATAGGCATCGTAAGAGTTCAAAATAATCTGGATCTTATCATCCCATATTTTCCTCTTAGAAGAAGAAAGGCGTATGTCTTCTGGGATATTTTCTTCCAAATAATACAGTAATGAATCTCTTGGGATTACATGATCCATAAGAGAATCTGAGATTTCTCTATCTAGATTATCATAAATATGTTTCATGACATTCAAATAAATGAACTCATTTATGATTCTTAGAGGACGCCCCAGACTAATAATAGCATTATTATAAATACCAGCAATTTTTTTGCTATGATACGTGGAACTTATAAAGTTGTCGTGAACAGTATAGATAGGCGCTTTATAATAAAGCATCTGTTCTACCACTTTCATAGCAATATGTGCATCCTTCTGATGGATGAAGTTGACGAAGGATGAGATCTCTGTCTTCCTGCGATCTCGTGTATCAGTAGCTACTCTCAGAGTTACTTGACGTCTTTTCTTATGCAATTTATCATAAACCCAGATATTGATTGGTTCCATCTTCATATAGTCCTGGATTGTTAGAATGTTCTCTACCTCATACAGTACTGGGCGATCACTAGCTGAGGCAACCCAGCCTATACTACGGATCAAACGGATAAAACATTCCATGTTATGAAACCTATCTTTCCAGAACTCAAAGCACAGTTTTGCAATCTGAAAGCACTCCTTCGGTGTCAGGAATCTAGAGAGACTCTCCTTTATATCGTGAGCTGTGCTCATAACCGTCTTCCCATAGATTATAGGCATAAAGATCGATTTCACTATCTTCTATCGAGTACCTCGATAAGGGTTTCGGAGAGATTTCTATCTTCTAGTTTTTGAACTATATAAATTTGCAGTTCATTTAGGATAGATATATAAATATCTTCTATTTCACCTTTAGGAGATTGAATTAGATTCGTCTTCCTCGCCATCCATTCATCCAGCAAGAAATAAGACATGATTTGATACGCACTGGCTGAAGCATCTTGGGTAATAGGTATGCGCATAATAGATTCTAAATTACAATAATAGACAGGTAGAAAACTAGATAAGAACTGAAAGGGATGTTTAGCCTTAACAGCATGCTTGATAAAACACTTCGCACTATCCGAATCCGATAGTATGAAATCTCTTCGGGAGACACAATCCTCCAGCATTAGTGCGGTGGTTTGTCCTTAAACCAACTCAATGCACCCTTGTCAGACTTGAAGGACTGAAATTGGAAGCATGTAGCAACTACTGCAACCCTGTAGTCTAACTCTTGTGATTCCACAAATTGGATCAGGCTTTTAGAAAAATCACGCTCGTGGAAGTGTAAGACTCCACAACGGTAGATTCTACCCCGGAAATCCAGAAGGCTGGTGGTAAATAAAATGAATAACCTTCGTACGCTAACGCCAAGTCAAATATCATTTTCTCATAACGAGCACGCTGAATATCTATTTGTAATGTTTGTAACAACTCATTGAACGTAAAGTTCTCTTTATATACGCATCGCTCATGTATAATGAACGAAGTTTTCCTGATACTTCCAGTATATTTATATATCCCACAAACTCAGGCGTGAGCAATCCAAAGTCTTCAAAGTGACTTTGGTGTGTTATTAAATATAAAAGCCATTCTTTATTTATTTGAAAAGCCTGACTTTGCAGACAGTTCATTATCTCGCAGAGCTTCTTGGGATTATTAAGCTCTATATATAAATTCCGCGGGTTACTTGAACTTAAAAGCCTGTAACGATCATACATTTCACTTGTAGGGCTACTTAGGTAACCACCTGTTAGATCTGACAGACTTACTGCTTTTTCTGTAGTACATTTCCAGTCTAAGGGTGGGAACACCATTGGCAAGCTAAGCTTTATTGGTAATAATGAGATATCAAATTTGCAATACACAAATAGTGTTTTTTGAAGATAATACGATTTATTTTTATTCAAAATACGAGTTGATCCGCTACTATCTTCAGCTAACGCTATCAGGCCCCTTAAATCCATTAACTCAACTAAAGCTGCTCCAATAGGGTACTTTTTCGATAACCCGGATTTCTTCTTACCTTGTTCATCAACACCTTCCTCCTCCTATCCTCAAATAAGTTCATACTCACAGCACCCATTAATTTACGCTTTATGATTGTCTTAGCATGGCAACGAGTATGACCCTCCAATTGCTCCACCAAGGATGCAACACGGATCATGCTCTTAGCATCTGCCGAGGAAAATAGCACATGAACTATCAGTGCCTCTAGTTATATTGACCAAATAAACCCACCAAGAACTGATCTGACTCTCTGCTAAGCCTCGAGCGAAGAAAATCCTTCGCACTCTCTTTTTCAGGATCGATCAGTATCTTTAGAATGTCACTTGTTGAACTAAAGATATTTTGTTCATCGAACTGCATTGTCATATTTCTCTTTCTTAACTGAAGATCATACAATTCCTTGGATCAGCCACCACACGGTTTCCTTCACCTCTATGCGCCTTTCTGAACTTATCTAGTTCAAGATGACACCCTCATTATACCGTTTGTTCGCGCTCTTTTCAGAATAATCTTTATTAAAGACTTGACCCCTAGCATAAGTATAAAACTCGTTCCAGAAATTATAGAATTTCTCACGTTTAACCAGGCAATCATTTTTCGGGAAGACATGACTATGAATCCATTGCATCATAATAAATTATTATTTTTTCAATTAGAAGAGTAATACTCGGGATTTTCTCTCAGAACTGCTTATGCCGCTAGCTTTTCCTTGAAGCCCCCGTAGGAATGACCAACTTATCGATAGGCTTCCCTTATACTTAAGGACTTTCATAATCTCGATTCCTTAGGGATTATAGATACTTAAGATCTCGATTCCGTAGGATAGATTTTCGATTCCGTAGGACATAAGAGTATATGAGGTGCCTTTACCCACAGAAATACTAGACTCAACCCAGACCATGAGAGGAACAGGCACAGAGCCATGTTTCTTCGGCCTTGGGACAGGCATTATGGGATTTTACCCGACGGGGGCTGCTTTACCCTGAGCCAGTATTTCTCCCCTAGAAATGGTTTAGGATAACCTCCAGGGGACAGACAGCGGTATTACTCTAAAGACCAGGTAGGGCTAGGGTGTATTTTTTCTTGTTTTTCTTTTGTCTAAGAAGCCCGTAGGTTGTACGCCAGCCATACGTAGCTGGAACTGTGATGGCCACAATGCTTAGCTATTGCCGATCCCCAAGACGCCTTTGGTTGAATGTTCACACCTGATCCACCGTCTGCACTTCCTACATTCACTCCCGGAAATTGAAACAGGAAAACAGGAATTGTAACCTCCCGGTCTGCTGTGTAGTCAGCCTCACGGTGTGCCTGACTGGCGAGTCTGCCGTTCCACGGCTTTCCCTTTTCGGGCTGCTCCTCAAGCCTGCGAGTGCCGATCTTCTTTGGGCCGGCTCCGAGGCTCTACCCTGGCTTCATTGGTTTCTCCCAGGGGCCTTTATCGTATCGCGCGCATCTTCCAGCAATCGGGGGAGGCCCCGAGTACATAGACGGGGCGGTCCTGGGGATGAAAAGTACATTCCCTCGTGTTCTGGAACTCCTTTTCTTCGGTTGAACAAAGAAGGTTCAATCTTGTGAAACCGTAGCGTAGGCGAAACCTGGCATCCCGCCCAGAGTTTTACCTTCTCCGGTCCTGGAAGGAAACCCTACTTTCCTTCCTTCCCCCAGCAGCTACAAGATCTAGCCTGATCAGATCTATATATCTCGTTAATGTCATAGTTATATTCCAGATCAGCCAAATTCTGCCGTTCCGGCTTCATTCTCCACAGTAATGGCTTACTACAATCCTTTCTCAAGCATCTGGTAATTCTGGCCGCCTTTCCACTCCTCACTTTGCTTTCCACCAAGCCAATAAAATCTGCCTCTTGTGCTCTAAAAGGCCCTCTCTATGCTTCTCGACTTTACCGATCTTTCGACATTTATATAAGGACCTTAATGTGGAACTATTGTTGTTTTTACATTCCCTTCGCACCTTAGCGCTGCCTCTGGTTTTTAGTCTTGTGCAGCCCTTATTTGTCTTTTGTTCTTTGGCCTTGATTTCCCCATCCCCCCTCTTTCTTAGAATTCAACATCTCTTATATGTTCTCATTTTATTCGCCCCTCTTCATTCAGGGTGGTTAGAACCCAGGGGGAGGAATCTTCACCTTTAGGTCATAGCACCCAGCACTGAACGCTTACTCTTACTGCTCTTCTCAGGTTCCCCTTTTTATTAGGATTGATTGCCTCTGATTTTATTGTTTGGAGTCATTTGTTTAT